TGAAAGCCATTGTAAAACAAAAACGTGGAGCCCCTTGTTTAAAATGATTAAAAGTTTCAAGATGGCAACAACACAGCATCAAACCAAGCACAGGCCCCTTCTGACCCTGGGGCGCTGTGTGATGACACCGGCCCATGAAGCCAGCTGGCCCTGGCGGCCACAGGACCTCCACACTCAGGCTCTGTGCCTAGAAGCCCCTCCCCCAGGTCCCTGAATGCCCGCTCCCTCCTCTCCCGGAAACGCCACCTTTCCCAGGAAGGCCTTCCGGGACAGCACTCTAAAATCACAGCCCTTCACAAACTCATGCACACTGTATCCCTTCTAGCTGCTTTACCTTTCCCGAGACCACTTCACGTCTGACAATTATTTGTTGGTTTTCTCTTCTCTTCTTCCCTGCCATGTAAGTTCTATAAAGGCACAGATTTTTTTTTCCATCTTGTTTGCTGCTATATCCTCAGTGCCTAGAAAAGCACCTGGTACTAAGAAGCCACTTAGCGAATATTTAGGAATGAACAAACGAAGCCCAAACTGCTTCAAGCAGTGGAAACTTCCAACAAAGAGATGACTTAAGTTACAAGCTGTTCTAGGATACACAGGGCCTGTTTCAAAATGTGCCTAAGCAGAGACCCCCTGCTCATTCATAGCAGGAAAAAACAAATAAACGGCACTCACAACAGAACTTTTTAGTTGGAGAAACGGAGAAGGAAGAGAACTCTGAGCTAGAGGGATCGGGGAAGAGTTAACACAGGGGAGAAAATTCAAGGTGAGCCTTAAAAGGAAGGCAAAGAAGAAGGGAAGTCTCTCCAGGGACAACGCACAAGTTCGCATTGGATTCCACCTGTCTTCTCGTTTCACACTAGAAAGTTTCCTTGTTTCTGATTCAAACACAGAGGTCAAGCCGTCAGGCCGATCTTGCTGACAACAGAGGGAGGCTCTGATGAACTAAATGCTGGCACGGTGAGCAGTAAATACCGGCCGGCAGCATTAGAACTTGTATGAGGCCGGGAAACCCACATCGTAACTTGGAGAATGCTCTGAATGTCCCCAGGGGTTCCAACAACCGTAGGGCCTCTTTACAAGATTCCTGCCGGAGGCAGCGATCCTGCCCATGTTGCTCCACCTCGACAACTGCAGATGGGCTCCGACTGCACGAAGTCCAACGGGTGAAAATACGAGAGTAAGATGACAGACCCTGCCCTCCGGGTTCCCAGTACAAGACTCGGGGAAACAGGGGCTTATCAGTGATAACTCTTAGCAAGAGAAAGTGAAATGAACTCTTCCATAATACTAATGATAATAACAGCACCAGCTTAAATTTACTGGTCACTGACTATACACCAGGCTTGGTGCTAAGAATGTCCCATGTCATTCTTATTCACTACCTCGTCACAAAATAGGTACTAGCCTCACCTCATCTGGCAAGTAAGGCAGAGGGCATTAACTCGCCCACGGTCAAACAGCTAGTCAGCAGCAGAGGCTGAATTTGAACTCGGGCCTGCCTGACCCTGGAGCCAGGACTCAGAACCAGGGCTATCCTGGCCCCATTAATGTAATCCTTTCAGCTAGAAGAGGCAAGACTGTAGGCTTCCAAGGCCAGGAAGTGTCTATTCTGTTTACTGTTGATTCCCCAGCACCTGGCTGATCAAAACGTGTATGTTGGATGATAGAAAACACATACATTAACCATAGTTTGGTATTGCATAAAACATCCACTTAAAGTGGGCATCTTTCCCCTGGCTGGTGTGGCTCAGTGGGTTGGGGAATCATCCTACAAACCGAAGGGTCACTGGTTTGTTTTCTGGTCAAGGCACATGCCTGGGTTGCAGGCCTCTGGGGGCGTGCAGGAGGCGACTGATTAATGCTTCTCTCTCATGTCAGTGTTTCTCTCCCTCCCTTCTCCCTCCCTTCCCCTCTCTCTAACAATAAATAAAAATCCTTTTTTTTTTCAGTCGGCATCTCTTGTATCCACTGTCCAAAACCCATTCCCTCTGCTTTCAGGAAACCACCCCACTCTTATTCTCCATCCACATGGTTCAGTCTCCCACGTAATGCTTGCTATACATGAGAACCCAGCCACGAAAGAGCACGCGCTGAATCTACTTACGTAGTTCAAAAGCAGACAAAGGAAAACAAGGCGTCAGGAGTTGGGTGAGCGGTGACCCATGGCATACGCCTCACTGTGAACCAGCACATGCGAGGGTTCCGACAGGCTGGTGATACTGTTCTCTTATCTGGGTGCTGTTTACACAGACACGCATGCCTGAAAATTCATCGTGCTGTACATTTAAGATTCATACTCTTCAGTACAGAGTTTGATTGTTTTTAAGAAACTTCAGAAGTCGAAAACCAAGGCCAACCGGATGGCCATGTTTCACAAACACGGTTAGGTATTTTTCTTGGGGGATATGAGACAGACAAATTCTACACTACAATATTCAACACGATAAAAAGAACAATAGCCACTATGAAACAAATCGTTACAGAAGCAGGGCCGGAATCTGGGAAAAGGGCACAACAGAACACCTGATGAACAAGGAAAATGAGGCCAAATGAGCAACCCCGAGCCTGCTCCACTCATCTGCATCGCCAGCCTGGCCCTCGTGGGCTTGGAGGCTTACGACCAATGAATTACGAATCCAAGCCTTTTCTATAAAGATTACCATTTCTCAGACTTAAAATACCGGATTTACTGCCCCTAAAAAAAAAAAAAAAAAATCAATTACCTCCCTAATGCTCATCTGTCCAATGGGGTTAATAGTGGCCACTGGAGAGGGCTGCTGGGAGAACTGAAGAAGATAATGATGTCCCTAAGCCTGTGAGACAGTACCGAGGAGACAGCATGGAAGCACACACAATGAGTTACTGCTTTATTTATAGCAGCATTACTGATGATTGCAAAATACTAGCAATAAAAGCAGAGGTGCCTCCAAGGTAGGCTACTGCCCATAATGGACCAGTGCCCAACGTGGCGATTCTGAAGGAGGCAGAGGTCACAGGCGCACACTCCAGGCAGGCTTCCACTACCTACCTGAACAACTGAGATTCTGGCTTGCCCCCGGAATCCTCCGGCAGGCAGGCCCCTCCCACTTTTAGAACACTTCATTCAGGATTCCACTATTCTGGTATAAGGCCTACCCCTCACGAGTGTTAGGGCTGGGGAGCCTTGAGAGTCAGGCCCTCCAGCCAAAGGAAGCTGTGCAGCAGAGAGTATCTCAGACTTGCCCGATTATCCCGGCCACCAGGTTTCTGGGCACCTCCTCCGGAGAGTGAGGCAGCAGGTCTGGAGAAGGGCCAGAACCTATATATTATTTTAAAGATTTATTTTTAGAGAGAGGAAAAAAGAGGGAGAAAAAGAGAGAAAGAAACATAGATGTGTGAGAGATACATCTATCGGTTGCCTCTCACATGCCCCCAACTGGGGACCTGGCCCGCAACCCAGGCATGTGCCCTGACTGGGAAGTGAACCGGCGACCCTTTGGTTCACAGGCTGGCACTCAATCCACTGAGCCACACCAGCCAGGGTGAACCTCTACTTTACTACAGCTTAAGGTGATTCATATGCCAAGTCAGTTTTGGGAAACTCCTACCTGGTGAAATGTCGAACCCAACAGACCTGCATCCAAATTCAATCCCTAGAATTTATCAGCTGGTTAGGCCAAGGCCAATAACAGAAAACCTCTTTGAGTTTCCTTCATTTTAAAAGACCGACAAGCCCACTGCCCAGGGTTGTTGTGAAGGCCCCAGACACTGCCACCTTCAGTGGGGAGGATTTCAGGCCCCACGTTTGCCTTTGTCCTAATAACCCACCTGCCTGTTTATTTCTGCTCCCCTGGGCTGGTCTTGCCTCGGCCTACAAATCCACTTCCATGGGAACACCTTCAGCACAGATCTGGACTGGTCTGAGCACCTGATCAGGTGGTGCTTGGCCACCTTCCCAAGGCACTGATTCTATTCTCACACCTGCCAGACTTCTTCAGGGATGACCCACTTTTTATAGCAGCAGGCACAATGCCAGCATACATTTTCATATGTATAAGAATTGTCCCATTAAACGACATTTCTAACATACACATACACAAGAAAAGGTTATACCGAACATGAGAGATAAAGCAGGGCACAAAACCAGACATGTGGTAAAAAACACACAGCTATTAATATTATTAGAACTACATAATATGTAAAATATTGAGCCACCACTCATCAAAATCACCTGCCAATAACAGAATTACTCCCACCCAATTGAGAAGTTGTAGAAGCCTAACTTAAAATGCACAATTAAACCTGCTGTCTTGCTCTCTTAACCATGGATACGTTTCAGGTGAGCTTGCTTGTCTCGACTGTGTAAAGGAGGCTTTTTTTTTGGTGGGGGCGGGTAGGGGGGAGGTTCGAAGAACATAAGGATTCTCATCTTCCTCCAGATTCGCCAAGAGGTCCGCGCCCCACAAAATGATAAGAACCTCCATACTGATAGTACCCAAGGATTTTACCTTGTTTCTGCTTTCATTATTATTGAAGGAATACACGCACGGTCAGAAAAGCTTCAATAGTACAGCCAGTACATAGAGACAAGTTAAAATTCCTTCCTATCCGTGTCCTGGGTCCTCCTCCCCAAAGGCAAACTTGTTAAAAGTTTAGGAATCCTTCCGTGGCAAGATTTCTCACTCTTACACTAACTGACGTCTTGGGCCAGATAATTTGTGTGGGGCGCGCCGTCCTGTGCGTTGCAGAATGTACACGAGCATCCCTGGCCTCGTCTCGTAGCAACGCGCCCCGCTCCCCGTGGTGGCGTCCAAAACTATCTGCAAACACTGCCGAATGGGGGACAAAGTCCCCGCAGTTGGGAACCACTACTTGATACTCCAAGCATGCACGGAAGTTGTGTTCCCTCACTTGCTTTTCTCCCCACATTGGTGACACAGAGTTACTTTCCAAATCAATGGGAGGTTGGTACCGGGGGCGGGGGCTGGCCCTGGCCTCGGCAGGAGGCGATGGCCACTCACCAGGTCGCGGATGAGCTGGTCCACCAGCTGCTCCCCGCCCCCGGCGCCCTCACGAGCTAGAGGGGAGCGAGAACGGCCCGCCGAGTCCGGCCTCTCCGCCCGGGTGGCCCGCGCCGCCGGGGGTCGCCCCGCGCCCTCCAGAAGGTCCTGGGCCAGCGCCAGGTACCCCGAGGCCTGCTCCCCGTGCTCGGGGGCCACCTCGGGCCGCCGTGGCCGCCGCCGCTTCCTCAGCGCCTGGGCCTGCGCCAGCTCCTCCTGCCAGCGCCGGCGGAACTCATCCAGACCGTGGTCGTCCATGGCCCGCTGCCCGTGCCCCTCGCCCTCCTCGGCTCTGCCGGGGCCTCGGGACGGTCCCTCCGCGGGAAGTGCCCGCGGCGGCGGAAACCAGAGCCGCGGCCGCACTCGGGTTCCGGGTCGGCGGCCCCGCCCCCTGCGCTCCCCGAGTGCGGTCCCGGGCACCAGTAGCTTTCGGGGCCCCAAGTTGAAAAGAAAGAGGTATATAGTCGCAGTCCACCTTCAAATGCTCTGCAGTTCCTGCTGTTGCCTTCTCAGAGTTTTTCTCCCCACCTTGACCTGGGTAACTCTATACATCTTTCATATCTTAGCTCATACATTATTTAATCTTCCAGCCCCCGCCAGGCCCTCCAAAAAAATCAGGTCTCCGTTATTCATTCTTACAGCATCCCATCCTTATTGTAGCACAGAATACAGCTTGTAATATTATATTTGTCTGATTGTTTATTAACATCTCCCTTCCCCACTGGACTGTTAAGTTCTTAGCTTGGAGGTTGGTGATTGGTAGGCACTCAAATATTTACTGAATAAATAACCCCTTAATATGGGAACCATTGTCCCTCACGTCACAGATGAAGAAACTAAGCCAAAAATCACACAGCTGGTAATTTGCACACCACCATTTCTAAGTTTGTTTGTTTTTTTAACCCCATATCTGACCTGTTAGTGATTAAATCACACAGCCTACCTGGCTAAGCCAGCTAGAAACCACTTGGCTGCCTCTGGTTACCATATTTTATTTTGTCAATTCAGTGATATTAACAGTGTGATTATTAATAGTCACACTGGTGCTCCAGGGCCAGACGGACCTAGGTGAGACTCTCAGGGCCCTCATTTATTCACATCCCCTTTGTTCCAGCAAGTCCACTTCTAGGAATTTATCCCAAAAGAAGAAAGTTGAGAAGAGTTCAAAGGATCCCTTCAAGAATGTTCACAGAAGCACTGTTTATAGTACTGAAAGTCAGAGGCAATCTAAACAGGGCACTGATTAAGTAAATTTTCCCCACTGGAAGGTAAGAAAGATCCAGAAGAGCAGAGACCTGATTTATTGGGTTGGCCAAAAAGTCCATTTAGTTTTTTCCATATAAATAAATGACACATTTTTCATTTTCACCAATAGTTTTATTTATTTGGGTATTTTGAGTATGTCAGCTATTCGCTTCTAGTGGATATAGGCCAGGGGTGATGCCAAATATCTTCCAGTGCCCCAGACAGCCCCAGAGCAAAGAATTATCTGGCCAAAATGTCAATAGTACCAAGAAACTTTGCAAACTACTTTTGGCATGTGCAATCAGTCACAGCACCTTCTCTATACACTGCATAAACCTCTTTTTTACATTTCAGTTGCATTTTTACCTTTCTTCAAATATTAAAGCATACTATAGTAAAAATGTTGCATGTCTTCTTCCATCTTCATATTAAAATGGCTGCATAAAACTCACCAATTTTGATAAGTTTTTTTAAATGCACGCTGATATGACAGCTGTCACAACACAATCTAACAAAATTGTTGCAAATGAAGTTAAAGATAACTAAGCAGTGCTAGAGTCATCGTATGGAAAAAAACAAACATTTTGGCCAACCCAATATTTATTCATTGCTATGTCTTCAGCACTCAGAATAGTACCTGGGATATAGTAGCTGCTCTATAAATAATGAATAAATGAAAAATCGTGCCACTATTAAACATTACATTGGAAAATTTTAATCAGATGAAAAGATTTTCACAATACAGCAAGTGAAAAAAGTGAGGATACATAACCATAGATACAGCATGAGCTTAGTGGTGTCTTTAAAATAGAAGTGTGCATGCATTGAAAAGGACTATGCTTCCAACTCAGAACAGGTTTCTAGAGAGGACAGGATTACGGTCTTTATCTGTATGTTCTAACTTTCCGCAGCGAATGTTGTCCCAGCCTGCTTCCCCCAGGAGCAGAGCCTGAGGCTGGGCTTGCAGGAAGCTTGTTATTTGTGGAAGTGACTCCAGAGAACAGGAGTTGGGGACCAAGAAGAGTGAAATGGGAAGGAGGGCCAGCTAATCCAAAGAGCATTCCTGAGCTGGTCCTGCTGTGGGCAACTTACACTCCATCCCACTGGGACCTTCTAAGGAGCCTTGAAGAACACACCTCAGGGCTGCCTTCCCAAGAGATAAGAGCTGGAAGAGAGGAGTATTTATCCACTGGTTCATTCTCCGTTAGAGAACGTTTTAGCCAGGAGTTTTTCGTAATCTCCCACTTCCAGGCTGAGTGTAAGTAAATGCATTCCCATGGACGTTCCACACCAATGAAGCAGAGAGGCCCTGGAGAGAAAAGCAAGAGATACTCTGTGCAGCTAACAGGAGGGACTGTCAGGTTACCATTGCACAGAGCCAGGTGCCGCAGCAAAAACTGACATAAAAGATGAGTCAAGAGGATGTGATATGGGGTGGGTGCAAGAACTGTCCAGTACAAATAAGTATTTTTGTACTAAAAATCGACCATGAGCCATTTTCCCCAAACATTCATCTGACATCTCACTCCATTCTCAGTGCTTTCTGTATCAATTCCAGGGATCGCACTTCTTTGGATTATCCACTTGTGGGCCAAAAGCCAAACATGGCTCTGCTGATATTTCTAGAAGTTATGGAACATCTGATATTTTAAACAAAAAGCTAACTGGAAAATTTTTCAGCACCTAGTTATAACGGTCAAAAACCAAAGTTTCCTGTCGCCTCTTTCAAAGAATTTTTTTTACAGGGACTCTGCAGGCAGGTTAATGGGCCATTGGTCACCTGGGGAAAATGAAAAAGAGAAATATGATAAGAAGGGAAATACTGTCCTTTGGTCTGTGTCATCTGTTGTTCACTGACAATATGTATGCCAACTTTGTATCTCTCCAACACCAAATCCCTGGGCCTCCATTTCCCCAATCGAAAAATAAAGGTAAAAATGCCTTCCCTTCCGAGCAACCGTAAGGCTGATAAAATACGGGAATACTTCTAGAGGTCATGCGTAAGGTACGTAGTAGGCATTTAATAAATGCTGGCTGTGGTCCACATAATCACGGTCATGCAGGTAGAGATTACCTCTAGCTTATGCTCTCAAAACTCCTGTGTTCCAGGGGCCCCACCTGTTTTTAATATAAAACGGATTCCTCGGTATTAAATCACAAGTTCAGCCCATTAAAATTCTGCAGTTGCAAAGCAATAAGCCTTGCTACCTTAAGCAAAAGGGAACAGAGATTGGAGGATGGCTCACTAAGTGAAAAGAGAAAAGGAATAACCAGAATCAGGGATTTTATTTTAGGTGGGCAGGAACCACCCGTCCTGAATGACCTCACCCACCTGCTTTCTGTCTTTGGGGAATCCAGTTCCCAGAGCAGGGGCTCGCGCGATGTGGCCCCTGGCCCAGCATCTCCTGGGAACCTGTCAGAGGCACTGTGCGGGGGAGGAGATGCAACAACCTGTCCAGGTGATTCTGATGCACAGTCCAGCCTGAGAACCGCTCCCCAAGAAGAGCATCTGAATGGCCTGGTTGGGTCACACTCCCAGCCCCTGATGGGGGGGACAAGGGTCACAATGGGCTGGATTTCTGGGACCACATGAAGTGGGAGGGGCAAAGCTCCCCAAAACAGAAGAAGGGGGTGGGATACTGAACCGAAGTATAACTAACACCGACGGGGCTGTCACAGGAGGGAGATTCTGGGATTCAGTCTTTGGGTCCTCCTGCTACCAGTCGTCTCTGCCCTTGGTCAATCGGCTGTGCATTCCCCTCGGAACCCCCCTCGGAACCCCCGCTCAGGGCTGCCAGAACCCCAGAATGATGGCTGAAAAATGGCCCTCATTCTTCCCTAAAGCACCTCCTGCCTCACTGTCCTCTGAGACCTGTCGCACGCTGAACTACCAAGGGGCAAGCACTTCTTTCCCGCAGCGTCAGGTGGGTCTCAGGAAAGTAGGGCGGGTGGGCGGCAGGAGCAGAGACTGATTCGTTTGCACGTCGTCCAAGGTGAGAAGGTTGATCTGTTTCCTACGTTGCTGCCGCAAAACAAATTAAGTGACTTAAAACAACCCATAAGCATTTCCGTGTGGCTCTAGAAGCTAGGAGTCCAAATCCGTGTCACAGGGCTGACTTCCAGGTGTCGGCAGGGCCCTGCCTCCTCCAGAGGCTCTCGGGGTGAATCTGCCTCCTTGCCCTCTCCGGCGTCTGGCACTGCTCCGCTTGGTCTGTGGCTGCTTCCCTCACCTTCAAAGCCAGCAGCGCAGCCTCCTGCCTCTGTCCTCACGCTGCCTCTGTCTCCCTTCAAATCTCCCTTTGCCTCCCTCTTAGAAAGGCGTCACGATGGGATTGAGCCCACCTGGATAATCCACACTACACTCCTTCACTTACTCCATCTGCAAAAGCCTGTTTATCACGTAAGGTAACACTCACAGGTTCCAGGGATTCAGACCTGGATATCTCTGGGGGCCGTTCATCGGCCTGCACAGACAGCCTCCAGCGAGCACAGACTCAAATGCCTCCAGGTGAGGCCAGGAATCAGAAATGGGGCGAGTGCGCCAGGTGTGGACTGGGGGACGTGGATGCCCATCTGGAGGGGAAAACAGGACGCGGCTCCATCCAACTCTTGGATCTTAGTCTAGAGCGCAGGTGGCAATCACAAGGCCTGCGGGCCGAATCCGGCCCTCCACCTTGTTTCGTCCGGCCTGGCACCTTGTTTCTACCCGGCGGCAGCGCTGAGCTCTCCCTTAACTGTTCAGGAGCGGTTACACTTACACAGGCCTAACATCGCATGCAGGCCTTGGACAGCAACCTCGAGGCTGATGTGGCCCCCGGTGAAAATGAGTTCGACACCCCTGGTCTAGAGCTTCTAAAACTCAATATCTTGGGGTTTCATTATGCACAACAGATTCCACTTTTTAAAAGAAAAAGTTTTTTTTTATTAAAAGCCTAAGCTGTATTCAGTGGCTGCCAAACCCAACAGGAGTCCTTTCTCGAACAATCCCTGAGTTAGGACAAAACTCCTTCAACTCACAGGAAGATACGTCCTGAGTTCTTGTGAGCGGAACCGGGGAATCGAACCTCATTTGGGATCAC